ATGTCATGTGACTGTTACACAAATGCCATGTGACCTGCCAGTCATGCTGGTGTGATACAGGTTACAGGTATCTTATTCTAACCAATTGCAAGAGACAGTTAACCATAATACAGTGAGGATTTTTAAATTTTCTGTCAACACTGGGATTTGAACTCTGGATCTGCCACTTGGGGGTTGACAACCTGACCACTTCACTAGGTCGCCACACCTCATGACAATTAAATATTTAATTTTTGCTTTGATAAAAATTTAAATTTAAATATTATAAATTATTAGTAATAATTACTAATAGTAAAATAAAATAATTTTCAAAAATAAACTTTATAAAAAATAAACAAACAAAAAGCATATAATAAGTTTTATTATAGAACTTAATTATTAAAAATAATTAAAATTATTTTTAGCATACAGTTATTACAACTTGTCATATTTTACTTTTATGTCTTGTAATATCTACAATTCTATATACATTTTAAACTTTAAAAACTTCTTTTTAGAATTACCTACTTATTGCAGTATTTATATAATATGTTATATACATATTTATAGATTATAGATTATACAAACCTTTTTTTAAAAATGGCACAAAATCTTTAATTAAGTTAATTGGCAAGCCACTTGGTTATATATCAACAATAATTAAAAAATCTCAAACTTCTTATATAGCTTTCAGTCCTCTATTTTTAAATTCTTTAGAATTAAAATTCTACTAGATGATCTTCCTACTCCATATATTTTATATAAATGAAATCACTCATATTCACCTATCTGGCATTAATATTATCAAATTAGTTTTTACCTTCACTGAACAACTTGTTCATCTAATAAATTACTATACAGTCTTATAAATATTTTATTACAAAATATTTTAAATACTAAAATACTTAACACTACTTCAAATACTATAACTAATTTATATAATTAAATTAAGTTATTAAATAGTATGACTATTCACAGTATATCAGATTTACTTTTAATTTTCTTAACTCTAACTAGTTTAATACTAAATAAACTCATTGACATTATTACAAGTTTGTCATCTAAAAAAGTAAGTACAATACTTGTTATTAAGTTCTTATTTCATCTTAATTAACAAATCTATTATAAAATCTGAATTTCATATTGTATTTTAAGATCTACAGCTCAATCTCTTGAATATAACATACTTTCAAATGCTGCCTCACTTCTATTACATTCTCTTTCACTTAATTCCATTAGTTTAAAAATAAACTTCTGATATATTCAATGGATTAAATATCAAACTAATCTCTTATATATAATTACTAACACTCAAATCTAGGTGAGCTTTGGCCACTCTGGTTGGTTTAGGTTGCAGATAAATTAGTCTGAGCTTCTATTCTTTCTATAATATTTTAAAAACAAAATTGTACTTTATATAAAATCTCAATTAAATATTTAATAAAAATAAGGCATGACCTTATCATTAATATTAAAAAAAAAAAAATTATTTTTAGTTTTAGAAAAATAAATATAATAATAAAATTTTAAAAATAGGTTAAATATAATAACTTTATAAATATATTCTTTGTTCTAATATATTTTGTAGAATTTTAGATTACCAAACTTAATTATAATAAATTTTTATACAAATTATTCTTTAATTTTATAATCTTATTTATTTATTATTTAAAATAGAAATACAAGTATTAAATATAATATTTTTAAATAAATTATCTATTAATACTATACAAGAACTCAAATAATTTTTATAAATAAAAAAAATTATTCAAAATTACAAAATCAAAATTAGCTAAAGTAATACTATATTAATTAATAACAGTCTTATACAAATGAAATCTACAATAAAATAATTTGCTTAACAAATTTCTATAATTTCATCTATTTATAACTTATTATTTAAGAAATTTGTTAATAATAAAATCTGAAACAAAGTTACAAATAATCTAAACCATACTATATATAACTTTGAAAATAATAAAACTCGGAATTATATAATCATTTTTTCAAAAATTATTCTAAGTCTTTTTAGTCTAGTTTATAAATCAATTGTCTAACTATAAAATGAAATCTACAGAGTAAGTAGAACCGAAATTTTTAATCAATGGAAGCCCCAAATTCTAGCATTAGTCATATTCAGCATAAAAGCTGTCACATTAATTTATTTTATTACCAACAAGATAGAAGCCACATTTCGGCCACTTGTTTGCGTACAGTCAATTCTAAATATACATAAGTGTATTAATTGTATTATGATAGCGTTCAGCAATCTAAAAACGTGGATTTGAACTTTACATTATTAGGATTAGAATGTACATGTAAGTGAATTAGTTAAGATTGCACAGCAATTTAATACTACAATTTCTTTGCCCAAAATCTATGAATCGTATCAAAAACATTTCCTTTTAATTCTATTTCATTTATAGCCGAATCAATTATGGCCTCATATCTTTCGTTACTCATACCGAGGGAATCGACAGCATTACCTAAGTTTTTCACAAACCATTTTGCATTTTCCAAGAATATATCGCCTAATGTTCCTCCCCAACCACCCATAGGGACATCTTTTTTCATTTGGTGAAAATCAGTTAATCGATCATTTCCTTGTAAAGCCCTTCTGGCGAGGGGACTTGCGATTAAGCAAATGTTGAATTGCCCAATTAGTTCTTTGACGACTATTTTTTTTTACAATGAAATATTTTAGATTATTATTATATAGAATTATTATAAAATATTATATAATAGTAAGAAATTTACTTTGAGATCTTAACATTCTCGCTTTTGGACCTTCGTTGACCCAGTAACAATCTAATTCACAAATTTCGACGTATCCACCTGGTTTTAGTACACGAACAAGTTCGTTGACAACATATTCCCAAGCAGAGAGAGTAAGCGAAGACCCCATAAATCTCATATGAACATAATCAAATACATTATCATCATAAGGAAGTCGCTGAAGAATATTACATTTGGAGAATGTGATGTTATTAGGTTTAATAGATTGGGGATAAAGTGGTAGAATATCGATTCCATGAAATTCGGACTTTGGATAATTTAAAGAAGTATCAAGAATCCAAGTTCCAGCACCACATCTAAAAATATATATATATATATATATATTATATGATTAGTTTAACATAAATATTTTTGGTTCCTACGATGAAATAAATTTGTTACATACCCAACGTCAAGTACTTTTGCTTGACTATGTGTTAACAGACCTTCAATTGGCGCAGAGAAGTTACTTTCCCATAAGTTTCTTATCAAAAAATGAATAACATTCAATCTATCACACTCGTCATATCTTTGCGCTTCGTTTTTCCCATACATATGCATATCTCCAATATATATGGTGGATTTAGTATCTCCAGTACATGCGATAGTAGCATTCGAAGAATCTAATGATCTAACAGATTTTGAAGAACCCAATGATTTAATCGAACTCGTATCTTCATATGCGAGAGTGGTATTCGAAGAACCCAATGAACTAATCGAAGCTAGCGAACAACTTCGTTTATATTGATCTTGTGGTATGTTCTGAACTCTACTAGATTTAGAATGAATTTTACCCATTGTTAAAATAACTTCTCTGCTGTTTTAAAGATGTGATGCGGCTTACGTAACGAATATAACGAATATGATGATCATAAGAAAAAAAAAAAAGAAAAAAGAAAAAAATGCTCTTTATCTCGTTATTTTATATTATGAATTTAGGCCTATATGTCTGTATTTATATTCCAAGATTTTGACCAAAATAATCATATTTTGAGTTATCTTGCATGATATCCAAACTATTATTTATGAATAACGTTTAAAGTGATAGTCGATACAATAGATTTCTACTAGATAAGCTAGTTGCAAGTTTTATTTATGAATTAAGATCTTAACATCAGAAAATCTCATATAAAATAATCTCTGCGGGGTATCAAGTATGACACTATTATGAAGCAATAAAACTCTACGGATGGATAAAATCGGTGCATATCGTTATATATTCGCTTAAAGTATATATTTAAGATATGAATATTATCCAACTAAATAAGCAGTTCCATCTTCAAATTCTATGTAATCTCCTTGCTTTTTCCCATGCGACGCATCAACATCCTTATCTATTTCTTTCTCAACGAATGTATCAATTTCCTTATTTAATTTGGAATTTGAATCGGATAAAAGAATTTCTGTAATACATCCAATATTTTTTTGGTTTAAGGGTGTTGTATTATAGGGTGAAAGTTCAGGCAAACTACTATCGGGAGCGTTACACACTTTATATTGGTCATTTCCTTGTTCTTTCCATGACCTGTAATGGTAATGAAAAAAACGTTATTTCCATATGAGGTTGTCCGTGACGCGATTTTTTTTAGTATCTATGTATGGTTGATCAGGGTTCTAAAACTTGAAATACCTTTTTTGAATGATTCTAAGTTTGGATCCTTACCAATTCTTATCCTGATATTCAGTTGATCCATCGTTTTCAAGGTTAAATCGCTCATAATTCATTTTGTCCTTTGTTAAAGAATTTTGTTTAACCTTGTTATTTTCGTTTGATTTATTTTGGTTGGAACACGTATTTGTTTTTGCGTTTTGTGGAGAATCCTCCATTACTGATTTACTGATTCAAAGAATTGAATATAAGACTGGTGAGAAAATGGTTACTTTTTTTTATTACGTTATTCCAGAATATTGAATCTGCGTTATTCGGATCTTCAATTATATATGCAAATGTTTTACAAACCATAAAGGAGATCTAGATAGTCTAAAGCCAGGTGGTGTTTTAAATTGATTATTAACTAATTCGAAAATTAAAATTATGTAATACATACAATATAAAATACTATAATTAATAGCTCAGACTTATCGCAATAATTCATGGGTAAACATAATTCCGAAAAAAGCATTAACCTTACGTAGTATCTTGATACGTGGTTGTTAAAATTACAATATTCCGTTAGACGGTGTGATGCAATTTTTACATAATAAAATTAATTTCACATGACTAGAGATGCAGTAGAACACTGCCGTAACTTGTCGTAACTATAGCAATAGTAAGTAATATAATAAGTTACGGCATTATATTACTATTTTACCATAGTTATGGCAATGACAATTAGCATTGGGACGATTCTACTGAACCCAAGTAGTTCACCCACAAAAAATTTCCGGCACGTAAAATGAAAATCACGTCTTTTTAAAAAATCGCCATGAAATTTTACTATAAGCTGTCCTTTTCACTTAATTCGATTGTACGTTACACCTGATCCTTCAATATAATTGGCTAAAAATCACGTTTCGGAAAGTATATACAGTCGCACCACACTCCCCTAAGTGCACACCCTCTCTACATGCACAGCTCGGTCCCAAGCTTGGGACTTAAATACCCTTCATATTCTGCACGTGCACAAGTTTCAGAGTCTAAGCATATATATGCACCCCTCTAGCTTATTTTTCGATTTTTGGTCAATTGCAAATAGTCGTTACATAGTAAAGTCTATGTAAATCGAATATTATCTCTTAAGTAAACTTGTTTGGAAGATATATGGGTGAGTACACATGCTTAGAGTATATATAATACATATACTCTAAGCATGGTTTTGCTGCGTACTCACCCATATACTGAAATTTTCATCAAAATCAAGTTCAATGAATATATTTTTTTTAAACAAATTAATTTTTTCGTTAAACGTAAAAATTAAAATCCAGATAATAAAAAGTTCGCCAATATTGATGAAATTTTCAAAGCCTGTGTTTTGATCTTCCGAACAAGTTTGATTTGATTTGTTTAGAGCCTACTCGGGGCGTTATTTCGAGACACATTGCTTGAAGAAAGTTAATTATTAATTTAAACGAATGAAAAATCATAATATTTGGTCTTCTGCTAAATTAGTTATTAGCTCTCTTCAAGCAATGTGCCCCTAAATAACGCCCCCGGGCGTTATTTCGCGACGATACGGTACTCTTTTATTTTCTATAACATCATAACGTTTTATAGTATTGTACCATTTTTGTATGCAAATCGAAAATGTCATAGGCAGAAATTCCTCTGATTGGCTAAAATGTAAATCAATTGCCCGGGTAACTTATTTATGTGTTTTAGAGTACTTTTTGAGAAAGCAACATTACACAAGTAACCATTCTTAACAAACATCATCTTTAGCTTCTAAGAAGTACTAGAAAACTAACTTTAAAAAT